CTGGTCGCCGCGGCGTTCGGGGAAGCAGCGGGGAAGAGCGGTCGGACCGCGCGCTCTGGGCCGGGCCGCGGGGTCGCGCGTTGCGCGGGCGAGTGCCGGCCCCGGAGTCGTGTGCTTGGCGGGGTCAGAGCCGCCCCTACCCAACCCGTCAGGCAGAGGATTCTCAGGCCGGCGCCCAGGACTCTGTGGAACTGCCCTCCATAACGGTCACTTATCTAAAAGCCTTACATGGAAACACTCTTCAGTTTCAAGTCCTACCTCTGTGCTGTGTTTTAGGGGACAACTGCTCCCCTCCTGCCCTCCATCTTGGCATTTCTGAGCGCATACCTAGCGCCTCTGTAAGGTGTGGGTGTATTTCTCGAGACACGCAAGCAGTATCTGAAGGCATGTGTAGGAGCGAGTATTACAATAGATGTCTTGACAGGGACTCTCCCAGAGCAAGTTTTTCACATGAACACAAAGGAGATCTAAACTTCATTGAAAAAGTGAAAAAGCAAGAAAATTGCTTTCAGATGGTACCAAAGGAGAAAAAATGTTTGAGGCCAGTCATATTAAGGGAAAAGAGAAGTTGGGTAATTTCTGTAGCTCTCTGAATTTGCTTTCACTAAAGTATGGTGATAAAAGGCATTATAACATCATTTATCTTCAAGATTAGGCAAGAAATTTAATAAAATAAGTTGAATTGTGTAGGGGATTAATTTTCACCAGCAAACTGTAATTAAACTTTCAGAAATACTCTAGATACGCTAACCTTCAGAATCACATTAAGGAACAGGAATTCAAATGATTATTTGCCTTTATTACAATCTATACTGTTGAGATCAGTTGATACCTGTCTCCTTTCATTATCCTTTTCCATCTGTTCTTTCTGTCAATTCCAGTATCATCACTAAATGTATTAATAGACAAAGTATTACTTATAGTATCTCAACATTGTATGTAGCAAACAGAAATAACTGTGGCACGCACAAAATATGCCTTAGCATTAGGTTTGATCACCATATGGAAGCGTAATTTTTCATTCTTTTGGCAATATAAGAGATGGTGACTGAAGCAAATAACTAGGAAATCTTCCTGATTACTTTCCTGGTGGTTTTCCCCCATTAACTGTACCATGACTCAGTAGCTAAAAGGCTGTATCCTCTTACTTAAGTTGTTCAACTGGAAAAGTGGAGAAAACAGCAACAGGAACTCATTTGAAGGGGGGTGGGGAGTACATTTGAGTTTCAGGGTCCCAAAGTAAATTTTCAAATGGTTGTCAGGGAGCATGTAAAATACTTCATTTACACTTCTGTAGATTTTTCAGCAGCAGCAGCTCTGATCTTAATAAAATTGCTTATAGTACAAAAAAACAGATGAAACATATATCCTAGAAAACAGATATGCTTTGCGTACCTGATTCTTTCATTGCATGACGTGGAAATTTCATGCAATGTGCTCCTCTGAAAATGTTATTTTATTTTCATCAAATGACTTCTTTATATAGTCTAAATCTACATATACAATACTTGAAAGTTGTACTTGAGATATGCATTTCCTCCAACATCAGTACCAAAGAACTTCTTATCAAGAAGTAAAAAAATTTTTAAATTGATACAATCCAGCCCATTGATGTAAGAAACAAGCTTTTGTGATAAATCATTTCTCGGCCATGAAAGTAGCTTTTTTTCAAGTCTTGAAAATGGATTTAAATTTTTTATGCAGTGCCATAAAAAATGGTAGAGATATAAAGATATTTGAGAGAGGTAAATGAAATAAACAAGTACAAAATATATCCTACATAGTTATTCTATTTTGTTTTTCTTTTGGTGGGTGGTGTGTGTTTGTTTTGTTGTTTTAAGAACACATGGACTCCAAATCACAAATGGAGTGTTTTTGAAAACTTGTTTTGTAAACGTGTTTCTTTAGAACTTAGAGTGAACTCTTCCATAGAAACAATGATATAAACAGAAACAGAACTAAAACTAATTAGCTGGAAATGAGACAGAAGCCATCTCCCTGCTGTCCTTTCTGCTTAGCACACTCAGTGATCCAGAGTCTGAGTAGCCTCATGGATACTGAGAGAGAACTGGTAGCAGCGGAAGCAGTAACAGCAGAGGCTCCTTTATGTCTGCATCAGGGCTATGGGGTGGTGCGCTCTTGAATGTGATGGCTACAGAAGACACCTGACTTTTTGCTCCTCCAACTCTTGCAGTGATTTTTGTCAGCCCCTAATTTTTTATTAAATCCTTTTCTACTTCTTGTTCCTTCACCGTTTGCCCCTACCTGATTATTTGATGAAGCAGGTTTCTTCCTTTGGCTATTCCCCAGGCTGAAGTCTCATCTACATACATCCTTCCCTTCACTGATTTTTCTTTCCACTTCTGTCTGAAAGGCCCTTGCATCAGATTTGACTATACAAAATGTATCTGTGGCTCATTGTTATTATGATACCAGATCAAAATGTATCTGTATTTTGCTATTTATTTCACATAATACCAAAATACTGGTATTTAAACACAAATGAACTTATTTACAAAACAGAAACAGACTCACAGACATAGAAAACAAACTTAAGGTAACCAGGAGGAAAAGTAGGGGAGGGATAAATTAGGAGTTCAGGATTTGCAGGTACTAACTATTATGTATAAAATAGATAAACAAGGTCCTACTGTATAGCACAGAGAAGTATACTCAGTAGCCTGTAATAACCTATGATGAAAAAGAATATATACATGTATAACTAAATCACTGTACTGTACGCCAGAAATTAACACAACGTTGTAAATCAACTCTACTTCAATAAAACAAAAACAAAATACCAGTATTTTTATAGGTGTTTTCTTAGTAACTAAGGTATTTTCTTAGTCTTAGCATCATTTTTTACAATTTATCCTTAGGTACTATTCCATCTGAGAGGAAACTGAAGTTCCTCTGTCCTTCTGGCCTGTTTCTTTTTAGGTAGGATGATTGACAAGGCAGCCTGTGTCCTAGGAGAAGAGGACTTGAAAAAATGGACCAGGTCCCCTAGATGAAAGAACTGTGTCAAGTTTGAAGTATGAATTGGGCCTCTAAGAGAGATAAGCAAGGGAGAGAGGCAAAATGCCCAAGAAACTGGAGACAGAACACAGCTATCCTATATGTGTGTTGGTAATGTGTGCATGAGAGATGATCCAAGTATGCTCATAACTGTGAGCACCCAGTCCATTTAGGTAAGAGAGTCTCTGCCCTGCTGCATAGCTGGAAGGTTAAACATCTCCAGACCTTTTATTATGTTTTTGTATTAATGTGAATGGCATCTTCTTAGATGTGGCACTTCACAACCTGAATAAGATGGCCCTGCAATTTTAGAGCATAGAGAGTCTCATTATCCTTAGATTGGTCTCAGAATCATTATTTTTAGCATTCTTTATGATTATAAAAGTCATGAGTACTTTGGAAAATGTAGAAATATAGAACAATCTAAAGAAGAAAACAAAAGCGTTTGAAATCTCACTCAGTAATGTGTTATAAAATATCAAACATTTGGTATTAACTACATTCGTATATCTCTGTGTGTGTATATGCATATATATACACATTTTTTAACATGCTGTAATGTAAATATCTGGATTTGGTATCTTGTTTTATCTACTTAGCAGATTTTGTCATTTTCCCATGTTATCAAAAATTCTTTTTTTTTAACATTTTTTATTGATTTATAATCATTTTACAATGTTGTGTCAAATTCCAGTGTTCAGCACAATTTTTCAGTCATTCATGGACATATACACACTCATTGTCACATTTTTTTCTCTGTGATTTATCATAACATTTTGTGTATATTTCCCTGTGCTATACAGTGTAATCTTGTCTATCTATTCTACAATTTTGAAATCCCAGTCTATCCCTTCCCACCCTCTACCCCCCTGGTAACCACAAGTCTGTATTCTCTGTCCAT